TTTTTTTTTTTTTTTTTTTTTTTTTTTTTTTTTTTTTTGCAAGTGTTTTGATCTATTCCTTAGCTTGGTAGCTAATTATTAACTCTTACTTACACAGAAAACTTGGACATCGTTTTATCTGTAAGCTCAAAGCAGATTGAAGTTTCTGCCTGTTCTGTCTTTGCTTGTCCCGACGGCAAATCTCTGATTGTGGTTGGTTTTGGATGATAGATGATGATTCTGATTTTAACTTGCGTTTTTTTCATCCATTTTTGTTTAATAGAAATGGTGGAAGCAATGAAGAATGTTGCAAAGCTTGAGGTTGAATTGACAGTTGAGGAAAGAAACTTACTTTCTGTTGGATACAAGAATGTGGTTGGTGCACGGAGAGCCTCATGGAGGATCTTATCATCAATAGAGCAGAAAGAAGAAGCTAAAGGAAATGAAGCAAATGCTAAACGCATCAAGGAATACAGACAAAAGGTTGAAACAGAGCTCTCTGGTATTTGTGATGATATCATGACAGTGATTGACGAGCACCTAATTCCATTGGCTTCAGCTGGGGAATCAACAGTGTTCTACTATAAGATGTGAGTATATGCTTTGATGGTTTGGTGCATGACTACTTGACACTGTTGAAATTTAATCATCCTTCATTGCAGGAAAGGAGACTATTATCGTTACCTTGCAGAATTTAAATCTGGTAATGAGAAGAAAGAAGCAGCTGATCAATCGATGAAGGCATATGAGGTGGGCATTTACTTTTCCCCTTTCTTTTCATATGAATCACGAGCTTCTATTCCTCTACTCTTTGTCTTGCTGTTTTCTTCTTCATTTATTAAATTTTGATCATACTTGACTTTCTCTGTCTCTCTGTTTCTAAATTATGTTGATTGTTTGTATTGCCGCTTATACTATACTGGACAAGTTTTGTATTTTGCTGAAATGTTTGGTATGTGTCTGGTTTATCATATAAATACATGCACGTTCATTTTTTTGGGATTACGACTATTTACATTCTTCCAGCAGTTGTCTGGATGATAGTTGAGAAAATTACGTGCATTTGTTCCTTTGAGAGGACAATTAAATTAGGATTTGCTTTTGCTTGTGGTACTACTTTCCCGTTTCTGATCATCAAACTACGAATCTTTTCTTTTCTGGGGTAATACTTGTTCAAAATAAGATTTACAGGAAGAGATTTGCCAGAAAGTTTTTGATTGGATTACTGGGAACCCGTAGGTCAAACATTTTATTTGAGAAGCAATATTGTTAACTGTACTCTCTCTTCTATCTATACATTTCCTAGCCTTTACATTTGTTTTGCTTTATCTTGTTTGTTACAGGCTGCAACCAGCTCAGCCGAATCTGAATTACCCCCCACACATCCTATCCGTTTGGGTTTGGCATTAAATTTCTCAGTCTTCTATTATGAAATCCTGAATTCACCCGAAAGGTATGATTAATGTAATATGGTCAGTAAATCTAGCAGAGTGTTGTCCTCTTCGGAGCTTTGTTGACATTCATGGTTACATTGTGCTTTTTGTTGTTTAGGGCCTGCCACCTTGCAAAGCAAGCTTTTGATGAAGCCATCTCCGAACTTGACACCCTTAACGAGGAGTCATACAAAGATAGCACCTTGATCATGCAGCTTCTTAGGGACAACCTTACATTATGGACTTCTGACATCCCAGAGGATGGAGGTAATGGTGAAAATCTTTAACTGGACTTAGCCTATATGCATTTTTGGACTCTTTTTGTTTGGGGGGGTGTCATTTAAGCTAACTATTCTTCTGGCGAGAGTTCTCTGTTGGGGTTGTTTAAGAGAGTGAGTGTAAAAAAAGAACTGAGGATATCATAAGCATTCAGATGATGATGGGATTGAGTTGCTAAAGACAGCTGTTGTACATGGACCAGCTTAAGATACGGACAAATTGGGTTTAGTATATTTGCTTGAAAGTTGAAATCCAGGATGCCCTTCATTTAGAATGAATTTCTCCTTCTCCATACTCTGTCTAGGGATGATGGCAAATAGCAATGACTTGGTCATTTGTTTTTCTGTGTTTTAACGTGCACTACTCATTGCTACAGATGATGCCCAAAAGATCAATGGAACTGCCAAGATTTCTGGTGGTGACGATGCCGAGGTGAGTTGCTCAATCCTTGGTTGCAGTTAGTCCAGTCATGTTTGAATTAATTATGCCTAACCATTCTTCATTTGCTGCAGTGAAGCGGATAGCATCATAAGTGGCAGAATCACTACTCTGGAGATGATGGATGTGACTCGATAATTGCTCTTGGTGTTTAGCATAAGGAGGGTTCCTTTTATTATCTTCCCTTTGTTCTTCTCCTTTCCCCCCCTCCCCCTTTTCTGATGCCCATTATGGTGTGGTTTTATTTTTGAGTTTGATGTCTGGACACTTGTTTGGTCTATAATCTTGCATTCGCACAAGCTTTCCCTTCTCAGTGGATATGGTCTCGATAGGTTGTAGGGGGATCGACTTGAATGTTTATCCATCCTGTTTAGATGAAAAATGGCATTGCCCAAATGGAGCCTTTCTGTTGAAGCATTATATATATGTTCTGTGTCAAATCTTATAAATATATCTTTCCTACCTTCCTCATGCTCTTACTTACTCACAGCTTCTCTCTCTCTCTCTCTCTCTCTCTCTCTCTCCTGACGAAATATAATGTGAGTACAGGACACTAGGACACTACTTTGCAGATCGAGGAATGCTGAAAGGTGATCCTATTCTTCATCTTATTTTAATTAACAAGTTGTTTTGAGTAATTGTAGAGGTGAATAAATTAGAATATAGTCAGTTTTACTGGTTGGTTTTCCATAGGTTCTAAGCATTTCCCTCTTTTTGTAATCAAATTCAAGTTTTTTGAAGTTGAGTGGAAACTGGCATTATAAATGCATGGTGTGTGTCATTATGTGAACAGGAATGTAAGAAATGCTTTAGAACATTCTGTACTGTACAGCATGTGGAGGTCACTATTTGATTGATGTGACTATGTTTCTAAGGTGCCTCCCACCTTGTTGCATTGGCCCATTTACATTGGAATTATTCCTTTATGCTTTCCATTTCACTTCATGTCATTAGATTTTGGTTCGAAGTAACACCACCACATCCTATTTGATGAATCCTTTTACCTCGTTTTTTTCATTTTTGTGAATTTATATTACAAATTTAGTTTTTGAAGTTTGTGGTTTGCATCTATTTAAATTTAGTGATGAGTTTTTTTTTAATTATTTTCAATTTTCAGAAGTTGAGTTTAGTTGAATTTAAAGATAATTTTGAATTTGTTAGAGACTTGATTTTAAATATATGTATTTTAATAGTTACTATCTTCTTAAATTTGATTTGGTGGAAGTGTTTGTATTATGAAATTTAGTTTTAGAATTAGATTTCAATTATTTTTTTTTTTTATAATTTTTTAGGGTTTTTTAAAAGCATTTTTTTATCTTCTAAAGTTTGAACTTTATTTTTTACTTTTGTCAAACGAAAATTAAATGAAGTTTTGAATACTTGTTTTTGTTTTTAGAATTTGATTTAAATTTAAATTAATTAATTAAAAGCTTAGATTTAAAGGTGAAAGTGTAATATCTTGACTCGAAGACATGTTTAGTTGGCGGTTGGCAAATTGAAAGGAAACCAAACTCGACACTAAAAGACAAAACGTAATATTTTGAAAAAAAGAACAGTAAAAATCCGAATGATGCAAATATGAATATCGAATGATGCTTAAAGTTCGAGAGAGCAGAAATTGGTAAGCAGATTGATTCAAATCGAACCAGCATCTTGCAGTTGGCTTACATTAAGCATTGTAGGCACCCAAAACAATGGTTAAAACCCGCCATTTTCGTCGTTTCTCGTTGTTCAATCTCCACGAAGAACAGAGCAAAGCGGAAACAAATCAGATTTCGAACTGTCAAATTCAATCTGTTTCGAATCCCTTGCTCTATTCGTCGAATTCTGATTTGATTTCAAGCTTTATAACAGCGTTACGCTTCTCATTTCAATGCTTGCTTGTTCACTAATCTATTTCGTGCTCTGATAGACTCGGTTTCTTTCAGTCTGAATTTAGTAGAGTTCTGATCTGTAATTTCTCGTTTTAGTTGTATGAGAACGCAGCTACACTGCTGTATTATGTGCGAGGGCGACAAAGGATGTATTGAATGCTATTCTTTTTGGCAAAATATTGAAAAGTTTGGGACAAGAAGAGGGAAGAGGAGTAGAAATTGGGCATGACCTAGAAAGAATCTGCAGCTGCAGTTGCAGTTGTTACGGATTATGGCCTTTAATTTTTAAGAAATTTTGCCGTAACATTCTTATATTGCAGGAAAAAACAAAGCGGCACAGGGGGATCAGCTAGGCTCAACTTTGCCAGGGTATGGTTTTCTTGAAGATCAAAAAGGTTAGATGTTTTTATGTTAATATTTGATGAAGGTAGTACTGTGCTGCAATGGATAATGGATCCCTTTCGAATTTAAATTTTTCTGGGTATTAAGTGAGGAGGTTCGGCTGATAAGGACATGCAAATCCACCAAACACAGCCAAAGGATGAATGCATGTGATGGGTCCTTTTCTGATGCTTTGTGTGGGGTTTAGCATACTCCTTTGTCCTCCTTTTTCAATCATACCGTATGATTAAACTCCCCCCACATTGTAGGGTCATATTCTCCTGATTGCTTTTCAGAAAACCACATGTATATATAATAAATGTTATTAGTTTTCTTCTTTTCTTTTCTTTTCAGGTTATCTATGATGTGCTGAACAGATCATGCTCAGTTTGACCTGTTATAGCTAATGTTGTTTTCCTTCTTTTCCCTGTAATTGCATGTCTGACAGCTTTCTTCAGTCTTCTGCTATTGTAACTCATTTTTATATGGAAGAATTTAGGAAGTAATACAGGTTTTTCTGAGTCCCTATTGGTCGTTGGAGTGAACAATCTTCGCTGTGTACACTAGTGGGATTGGCGTTAGTTATTTGTGTAACGGCCTAAGCCCACCACTATAAGATATTGTCCTCTTTGGGCTTTTTCTTTCGAGCTTTCTCTCAAGGTTTTTAAAACGCGTGTACTATGGAGATGTTTCCACATCTTTATAAACAATACTTCATTCCCCTCTCCAACCGATATGGGATCTCACAATCCTTACCCCCTTTGGGTCCCAGCGTCTTTGCTAGCACACCGCCCTGTGTCCACCCCCCTTCAAGGCTCAGTGTCTTTGCTAGCACACCGCCCGGTGTCTATCTCAAATACCATTTGTAATTGCTCAAGCCTACTACTAGTAGATATTGTCCGTTTTGGCTCGTTACGTATCACCGTCAGTCTCATGGTTTTAAAACACGTCTGCTAGGGAGAGGTTCATATATACTAGTGGTGGGCTTGGACTATTACAAATGGTACTAGAGCTAGTCGTCGGGTGGTATGCCAACAAGGACGCTAGGCCACAAAGGGGTGGATTGTGAGATCTCACATTGGTTGGAGGGGGGAATGAAACATTCCTTATAAGAGTGTGGAAACCTCTCCCTAATAGACGTGTTTTAAAAACTATGAGGCTGATGACAATATGTAACAAGCCAAAGCGGACAATATCTGTTGGCGGGCTTGGACTGTTACAGTTTTCTTTGGCTTCCTTACTTTTATGGCGTTTGTCTTTATTTAGTAATTATTGTTCTCTCGTTACATATCATCCTACTATTGGTCTAGTACCATGTGCAACGTTGGCCTGTTCATACTGTCCCCATTTTGGTTTCGTAACTGCATGATGTATGTTCTTGTATGCATGTTGAAAGGACTGGTTTGCTGTGATTCTTGGTAGTGACCAGGTTGTTAAAGGGAAACCTGCTTCTTATCTGTAAGGCTTTTCTTGTTTTGTTTTTGCATAAACCATCTTGATGAAGATAAGATTCTGTCTCATTCCATCTTTTCATGACATAAACTTGGTGCATACTAAAACCTTACTTCTGATCATGTGGAAATGGAAGTGAAAGGAACTTTATGTTCAATATTGCATTGTGAAATCAAAGCCATACAGATTTAATGATACCAACGTAAGTTAGGAACAAGATTGTCTTGTGGATTATCGAAATCTTTAAACCCAAACGCTGAAGGAAATGGAAACGACTAAATCGTTTGTTGATGGATTAAACCAAATCCATGAAAAATGAGGGAAATGTCTCAAAATGAGAGAGAATAGAATAGCTTCCTACCAAGGCCTTATGTAGCTTACATAATGAAGAACATATAGCCAGCAAACTTACAAATGCATAGTTTAATGATTTATGATTATGGACAATCTGTTTGACACCCATTCAAGTTTCAATCTTCGATACTCTACTTCCAATGCGCAGCTTCACGGCTGTAATTTGGTCCACCTTGAAATAGAATGGTGGCCATAATTCAAGTCTAGATATCATTTTCTGACTGAGTTTATACTGCTTTTCAAAGCTACTGGGCTTTCTAAAAAAAATTGCATGTGAAATCTGCTCACTAAATTGCTTGGTTTAACTATGGGATCTGAAAAGTTCATGTGTTGGTTTGGCTTTTCACAATGTTGTGGTTCATGATGAGTTTAATGCATGGTTTCAGAGGATGGCATCATTGCCTGACTAAGCTTTTGGAACGTTCTTCAATTGGGCTGGAATTGGTACGGCTTAGATCATCAAGGTTGTGGTTAACATAGGATGGAATTGCAGTTCCTGCACAAAAAAGAGAAGGATTTAGGTACCTTTGCACTCTTTCATGTATTTGAAATTTATATTATTTTGAGTTGATTCCAGGGTTGAGTTTGTGAGATTGGGTTTGTGAGATCCCACGTCGGTTGAAGGGGAAATGAAACATGTCTTTTAAGAGTGTGAAAACCTCTCTCTAGTAGACGCATTTTAAAACCGTAAGGTGATGGCAATACGAAATGGGCCAAAGTGGACAATAGCTGCTATCGGTAGGCTTTGGCTATTACAAGCGTGACATTGGTCAGAGTAAGGCTAGACCCTCTCCATAGTAGACGCATTTTAAAACCATGAGGCTGACGGCGATACGTAATGGGCCAAAGCAGATCATATCTCCTAGTGGTAGGCTTGAACTGTTACAAATTGAATTAGAGTCAGACACCAGGCATTGTGCTAGTGGGGACACTAGCTCCCAAGTGAGGGATTATGAGATCTCACATCAGTTGGAGAGAGCAACAAAACATTCTTTATAAGAGTGTGGAAAACTCTCCCTAACATACGCGTTTTAAAACCGTAAGGCTGACAACGATACGTAACAAGCCAAAGTGGACAATATCGAGCTTGTCACATCCCATTCATAATTAAACAATATTCAAAAGTTTTTTCTCGCTTTGGGCAGAAACTTTGGTCAGTGGACGAATGTGATAGCAAAATATTTGAGCAGCAGATGCAACTCATGCTTATTAGCTACATCTGCAGACTGAATAGCAAGGTAAAGAATAGAACAAAGCCCTAAACAATGAGTGACACAACCGTGTTATTTGATCGGCATCGGCATCGACCAACCAGTAGTATATAAACACTTCTTTGTTTGCAATGTTTTTTACTGTGCTTTTGCCTTCATGGTGAGTTCTAAGTTTAGATATATGTTATTACAACAACTCTGGATTCTGGGGTGCGTGAACATGAACACTCTAGTCAAGTCCAGTGATGGCCAGCCAACTCTGCAGCGTTTTCCCCGAACAGACAGATTAAAACGACGTCGTTTCAGCCCTCCCACACATCAATCTACCTAAATTATCACTCCTAGCACTCTGCTTTATAAATTTTGAAATATTATATTTTATTTGCATGAAAATTATTATGATTTATTTTATGAAGTGAAGTCATAGTAGGAAAAGGACAATGATGGAGATGAAGGGAGGCAAGTGAAGTCGGTGAGTGACAGACAACCAATTCCAGCAGTTTCCATGAACAAAAGAAGATCAAAACGACATCATGGTGCTGGGAGAGCAGCTTACATTTCAATAGAGGACAAAGCAGTACCATCCCCCCACCTTCCCTTTCACCAACATTTTGCAGTGGCAGCAGATGGGGTATGCCCAAACCCAGCCCTCCTTTCAATTACCTGTCATTTCACCACAAAACACATGCCCTACGTGCAAAGCACAAGGCCCATGGCCCATGGCCCATGGCCCAGCCCATTAGGGGCCCATAATCCTGATTCCATTTCTCCATGTCCCACACACACATCATGACAAATATTACTCTTAACCTTACTTAAATATTTTACTACATCCCTTGTATTACACCCACTTACTCCCGAGCTACTTCCTCTCCATCAATTCATTCGTTTAGGGTGAGAGCGAAAGCTAGAGTTCAGCTGTCGTCGCCTCACCAATTGGCTTGGCTCGGACATCAGATTGCTCGTGCCCGCCCCCATAACCACTCCTGTCCCCTTGTCGATGGGGAATCCACTCTCGAGTCGTCGCTCTACTGCGTCTAACCCGGCCTTGTGCAATAACCCCCCTACGAGCAAATCATCCGTCGTCGTAAAGTAGTCTCTATGAGTGCACGGTTAAGTTTGATTCTAAACAATTTGAATCATAAGCTAGTGATGGTTTTAGACTCTTCCCATCTCATCTTGAAATTTGGATGGAACTTGAGATCTTGAATGAGTGTGGTAGCTTTACACTGTTTGAATCACCGCCACACTGTTCCACCCAATTTTGGTCAAGCATTCTTATGGATTTATACTCCAAGTCACATTTGAAACGTTTATGAACGGACAAGATTAAAAACAATGCACCAAAAAACAGACCCAGGACAAATGATGGTGGTGAATATCCAAAGGCAAACACACCCACCCAGCTATGTTTTTTTTCACCAAAATCAGTCATTTTTGTAATACCCACTCCTAGACTACCCTGTGTGGAGGCATCACTTTTGGTAAAGTTGTGAAATGAGAAAAGCAAAATAATGCATTGTGGTGAAAAAGCTGAGGCATTGGTCAACAAGTACACCATAACATTACACCAGTAGAGCATTGTACAAAGTACAGAGATATTTCAGTGCACACAGGACAGGTTGTTTAACCAAGAAGATCAAAAAACAAAGTGCAGATCTCCCTGTCGGTTCTGCTCTCATCTAACAGAAACTTTGAGTTCGAGTTTAGGGTTTAGGGTTTAGGGTTTTGAAGCACGGAAATGAAATGAACAGTCGCCAATTCAAAGCTACAGCAGTTTTCAAGGTGTTCAGAAGTGTCTTCATTCCCCTCTCCGACTAAGGTGGGATCTCACAATCCACCTCCTTGGAGGCCAACATCCTCGCTTGCATATTGTCCTCTTTGAGGTTTCCCTCTTGGACTTCCCTTCAAGACTTTTAAAACGTGTCTATTAAGAAGAGTTTTTCACACTCTTATAAAGAATGCTTCATTACCCTCTCCAACCAATGTGAGATTCTCACAATCCACCCCCTTTGAGGGCCCAACGTCCTTGCTGGCACACTGCCTAATGTCTGGCTCTAATACCATTTGTAACAGGTCAAGCCTACCGCTAGCGGATATTGCCCTTTTTGTTTGCCCTTTCCCTTTCGGACTTCCCCTCAAGGTTTTTAAAACTCGTCTGCTAATGAGAGTTTTCCACACCCTTGTAGGGAATGCTTCGTTACCCTCTCCAACCAATGTGAGATCTCACAATCCACTCCTTTAGTGGCTCTCAGCATCCTCGCTGCCACACCGCCCGGTGTCTAGCTCTGATACCATTTGTAACAACCCAAGCTCACCACTAACAGATATTATCCTCTCTGGGTTTTTCCTTTCGGACTTCCCCTCAAAGTTTTTAAAACGTATCCGTCAAAGAGAGTTTTCCACACCCTTATAAGGAATGTTTCGTTTTCCTCTCCAACCAATAAGGGATCTCACACAACGATTAGAAAAGCAGTCATCACACGAAAGAAAAGGTAAAAAGGTAAAAGAATCATGCCCAAGATAAAACCAGGAGGGAGACAAAATAATTACATTTGGACTAAATTTTGAATTGAGATATGCAGATGAGAGCATGAAAACAAATGGGATTCAAATAAGGAAGAATATAAGTTGAATATTACAAATGAAAGAAATAAATTACCGCAAAGGTGGAAGAAGTAAGAAACACTTACGGTCTCTGAGGGTTCCTCTGCCTAGAATTCTAGGAAACAATTATGTAGTTGATTATGTTACAAGTAAAATTACTAACTTTTTATGTATGAAAAGAGTTACCAGAGCTTTTTTAACCATGACATGATGCTGGGACTGTTTGTATGCAACTTCTCACTGAGTCCTCCAGAAAATGGTGGCTCGGACGGATCATTTCGATCATCTTCTCTCCGTTCTTGTATATCTTGAACGCTGGAACCGTTCTTATGCCTTCAGCCTTCGCCACGGCCACGCTCTCCTCCACGTCCACCTTCCACAAAAACATCACATTTCGATCAGCTGAGATTCTAAATCGTCGAATGAGGTAAAGAAGATGATCGATCACGTTGACAAATACCTTTATGAACTTAACAGACGGGTAGCGTATGCATAGCATATTCATGAATGCGGATGTTTCGTCGCATATGTCGTTGGAAGCTTTGAAATGAACCACTGAAACGCCTGAAAGTTCAAGCTTTTTGTTCAGAATGGATCGAGTAATTGACGAGGCTTAACTCGAATATAACTCGAATGGACATGAACTCACCAGTTGATGATATTGCAGCTTTCAGTTTATGGAGAGTTGAAACTTCCTCTACCTCGCCACTTACTGTTCTATGATCGACTAACTCTCCACGAGATCGCTTCAATGCAACCTGTGCTCGGTGTAGTGATTCAGCAACGTCATTGTCTCCAGGAAGTTCTCTCCTCAAGAACTCGAGATCTTTCACTGCGTCTTCCCATCTTTCAAGCTAAATATTCGACAAGACAACACGAAAACATAAGCATACGAAACAGTTTCCCATAACGAGAAAAGAACAGAAACCGAGCACGCTTTTCACCTTTGCATTTGAAGCAGCTCTACGAAGAAGGGCTTTCGTGTAGTTCGGTTGGATCTTGAGGGCTTGATTGCAGTCCTCAACAGATTGCTCCCAAAGTCCAATCTTCGCCCAACAAACCGCTCGATTGCAATAAAGAACATGATTCGAGCTATCGTACCTGAGACCCTCTCCATACGCTGTACAGGCTTCTGTATATCTTCCAGAGTTAAAAAGATCGAAACCCCGAGATCGAGCTCTTGCCACCATTTTCACATTGCTCAACAACTTTGCAACTTCAAGATTATTGAAGTCAATCTTGGCAGCTCTCTCAGCTGCCAGAACTGCATTATCAAACCTGCAAGAACACCAATGAGCTCTCATTCACCTAAAGAGTAAAACCATTAAACCGAACCGAACTTATTTTCCCGAAAATATATTACCTTCCCAATGCCATCTCGACCATGGCACGAACATAGAACACGTACGCTTCAGCAAGCATACCGAAGAACTTGGTTTGTGAGCACGAAGCCAGAGTTTCCAACTTGGGAACATTTGATATGCAGGAGTCTGCATCTTCTAGCTGATGGAGCTTTAAAAGGGCTTCGGCTTTACATGCAACAAGCTTTATATTGCATTCAAATACATTTTCAGTATGTCTTACTACATAATTACTCATAAACTAACATATCTATGACTTGTACCTGTGGGGAGAAATCTGCTCCAGCTGCTGTTGCTGCTTCAGCTTCCTTTAAAGCACTCTTCCAGTCACCGGCTTTTCGAGCATCAGCACACTGATTCAAGATCTTCTCGAGCGACTTCAATCTCTGCAACTCGGACTGATCTGGTTGTCCTGAGCATAGGAGATGACTCCGGGATTTTTCTACCTGCCCGAAACTGGAAAAAGAAAATGTCGGTCATCTCGGAGGGCTAAAGGAAACTAAGGAGAAGGACTGCATAGACATACTACAGCTAGTGAAACAAAAGACTTCTAAGGAACCCATTTGAAGAACTAGAATTCACTGATCTAAGGAGACATGGCATCAAAGCAAGTGCTAAACGCATTCCCGTTTATCGATTATCGTTAAGGTTACCTTGTCGAGTCCCTCAGTATAGCACGCTTGACTAATAGTTTCCAAAGGGGTTTGAACCATCTATTTCTACCTGAACTCTTCCCGAGTTTCCCTCCTAGAGAATGGGGAAAGCTTATCCCTCACTCGCATTCACCTAATCAAGCAAAAACGTCACTCGACAATCATCCTACAACTAGTCCCGCCTATAGTTATAGGGTCGACGAACACAACCGGATCTTTACACTTCGCGACACTCGGAGAGTAGCAATCCAGTTATGAATTTATTAGTGTTCCTAAGAATTGAAGCAAACAGCACTGATACCAATGAAAGAAAGCATGTGGATCTCAAATAGTCTTCCAAGCATCATAAACACTTACCGGAGATAAAGAGCAGCAAGCCTCTGGTGCGCCCTCCCATAACCGAGATCAAGCCTCACAGCCTCCTCACATTCCCTCACCGCTTCCCCCAGCCGACCAAGCGCCGTCAACGCCGCCGCTCGGTTGCTCCGGTAAGCTGCATTCTCCGGGAACAACGAAATTGCACGATCATACAACGACAAAGCTTCAACAAAATTCCCTCTTCTATACATCTCATTCGCAGCTCTTTTAACCTCCTCTGGATCGGAGCTCGCCATTACCCTTTTAGCCATCGAATTTTCACTACCAAATTGCAAATTCCCAGACCCAAAATTACCTTCACCAAGATTTCCCAGACTACCCAATTTACCTCCGCCGCCACCGCCACCGCTACCGCCGCGAATAATACTACCATGGCCGTAATTCCCCGTGCCAGAGCCAAGCGTATCGCACCGATTAGGGGTTCTAACAGCAATGTTCGCCTTCAAAACCTTGCCGGAAGGGCAAATGTTGCCGCTCGGAAACACATTACTGATAGGATTCGAAGAGGCCGAGTTGATCCCACTGCTATTCACTCCATTGCTCGTACTCGTAAGCGTTTTACCCGAGTAGATTAGCGGCGATCCGGTCGAAAACGACCGTCTATGACCCGGTCTCAAATTCCGAGCAGCCGCGGCGGATCGGTGACCATCGAAGCCACTTGGACTCATCTCCGACGACACTGAAAACTCCCCAGAATGATTATCCGGTTTGCCCTCTGATCTTTTACCGATTTGGGTATTGTTAGTTTTCCCCGTAACCGAACCGGAGGAGCTCGAACTGCTACTAGAAGTGTTGGGTCCGCCAATCCCATAGCCATTATCACCAGTAACCGAGCTCCGATTCATCATCAATGGCGACACCGGAGAGCTCAGATCGTGGTCTTTCACATCAGGCTTATTACCCTCCAAACTAAACTCATCACGAAACCTCTCCGCTAAAGAATCAGAACCCATTTCTTGAATCGATTTCACAGTATGAGACATTGCTTCACAAATCACAACAAAAACAAAAACCCAACACAATCTGGTTTCAGGTCTATCCCTGTTATTGGAAGAACAGTAAAGAACAGAAGGGGTCTGAGAAAGACATGGAAGAAGAAGAAGATAAGAAGAAGAAAATGGGGATCCCGTGAAATTAAAGAAGGAAGCAAGGAATGAATCTACAAAGAGAAAATAGTTGGACCAATTTGTTAAACTTTCTTTCCCATTCTTTTTCAGATTTCGATCCTTTTTTTTCTTCCAATTCTCTTTCCCTCTTTACGCTGCACCTTCACGAGCACCGTTTCTTCCCTCTTCTCACCCCTCTCTTCGTCGCTACGGC